TCTAGTTGGTGGTTAATGGTTATAAAACAAAATAAATGTGCTAGACATCAAAGGTCATATAGCACTACAGAAAGGTGTTGTAGTGAAAAGAGTAAACAGGAACAGGGGTTAATTGATGATTAGATGTGCTACACATCAATAGTTGTATAGCATTTAAGGATAGTATGGCATTGAAAGGGGCAAAGAGAGGTGAGGGTAGAGAGGGTGAGTATATTGCCTAAGTTAGGGATTAACAAGGGTGATTGGATCAAATTTGTCAAAGGAAGAAGTGGGAGTCTGTAAGGATGTCTGTAGGGGAATGTAGGGATTAGCAAAAGGAGAAAGGAGGTAATGTCAGGAGGGAGAGAATCCAGGGAAGGGGGTTGTGACAGAGTCACATGTGTATCCAGGGGAATGCAGACAGGAAAATAGGGAAGGAAGGGGATGGTGTAGATGAAGCAGAGGAGAACAGGATGTGTTGGGAAGGAGTGGGAAGAAAGGATGTATGGGGGACATGAATAGGAGGATAGATGTCAGCAGTTACTTTGAGGGCAAACCCCCTAATCGTTGGGGGGGGGGGGGTGCTAAGAGACGGTGACAGGCCCAATGTTGGGGATCACCCTTACCCTGGATCTCAGCCCTCGCCTCAAGTAATATTGCATTTCTTCTCCCCTTTCCTTTTCCTTTTCTTCATCATCCCCTTCTGTCCACTTCCTAAGGTCTGAGAGCCATGATGAAAGGATGAAAGGCTGGTTTTGTGTTAGTCATGAGCAGCCTCCAGGAGCCATGGGCACATGGCACATTCCTTTGATTATCTGCCTAGCCCTTACCTCTCATGGGAACCCCAAGGGGTACACTATTTCCTTTCCCCATATATTTCAGGATCACCATGGCCAATTAAGGCTTGCCCCTTCATCAACTAGCCTATCTATATTTGATTTCATTGGTTTCCTGACCCCTGCCTCTCCTTTGACTGTGGCTCTGACCACTGATACTAATACCCCCTCCTCAATGTTTGCGGGCAACTCTATCCATTTCAAATCATCCACCAAGTCATTACTCAACCTTCAAAAGACACCCCTTCCTCTCTCCCAACATCTTCTTCATTTTCAACCCCCCACCTCCCTTATTACTACTCTTCATCATTATTGTCCTCCTCCCAGCAGTGCTACCTCTCTCCATACCACCCCATCTTCCTCCTGCCCTCATTATTCTGCTGCTTCCACCTCTGCAAACCTTTTGAGCCAAGTGGGATCAATTCCTGTACTCTGACAATACCCATCTCTTCCAACAATGTCTTCAAAAAACAAATAGGTAAAGTTTCCTTTCACAGACATTCTGATCATTCATGCCTTGTCACAGTTACATTTGAGTCCTGTGCATTATCTACCCTGACTGACCTCACTGCAAATCTATTCCTGCTCAACCTCACTCCTCCCTTAATATTTGTACCAGAACTGCTTCTGTCTCTGTGGCTGACTGTCCTGTCTACGACAAGGACTGGTCAGACTTGAAAACGACTTGCTCACATACCTTGTTGACTATAATGCAGTGGCAGTCCAGTGCTACACTATTCCTCCCAGAGGCCAGCATAAATCCTTCACCAATATTTCCAAGATTAGCTTCCATAGACATGATCTCCCCCATAAAGATTATATTGGTGGAGTGTCCTTCCCTGTCTGACCATATCGACCTCTTCCCCAACAACTCCTGAAGTGTTGGCATTTTGGCCACCCAGCCATACACTGTTGCTCCACTGCCCTCTGTGTGCCCAACCTCATCATGACCATTCAAATTGCTTTGCTCAGTCATGCACGTGTGCCAATTGTGATGGCTCCCTTAATGTATTTTCTAGGAGCTGCTTTGCCTGTAAACTTGAATCTCTGAGGTAGCAGTTCTCAGACTCAAATTAATCCTCACTCTATGTGAGGCCAGGCAAGACGCACGCCAATGAGATTTTTCTCTTTCTACCTATTCCAAAACTGTAGGTTGCTATGCTCCCCTCCCATCTTCTCAAGAAGTCTGAGCATCACCCTCAGTATCTCTTCCATCAATCCCAGACCAACCTACCACTACTACATCTCTCCCCCAGTCAAATTCCTTTTCCAGTCTAAATCCTGATAGTCCAATCTCTACCCCTCCCCCTCTACCTGTTGCACCAGACAATCTAAACATTCCACTCCATCTTCTCCTACCACACCCTACACCTACCTCTCCCTCTGCTCATCAGACATTTATTCCCTCTTCTCGTCCACACAAGAAAACCTTAGTTGCTCAGACCTCCCCACCCAACTTCCTCCAGAAACTCTTGAAGACATCCAAAAATTCATAAACATGACTCAAGAGAATGATCCCTACCCCTCTTCCTCCCACTCACCCAAAAAACACCCATCCTCTCCTCCTCCATATGCATCACCATTCCCTCTTCCTTATCCATTATCCTTACCACCCTCATTTAGATGCTCACCTGACTCCCTTAAGTCATAACAATGTCCTGTGAATCCCTCTCCTCCTGACATTC